ATAGTAGTAACAGGAAGTGCGATATAATTGGAAGAACAGTTGACTGAGTTATAAATCTTAATATTAGTGAGATATAAATGGAAAAACTGTTATTCTGAGATATAAATCATAAAAGTAGTGAGATATAAATGGAAAAACTTTTCCCCGGAGATATAAATTTGTAACAGTAGAGATATAAATGGAAGAACTGTTATTCTAAGATATAAATTGAAAAAGTAGTGAGATATAAATGGAAAAACTTTTCCCTGGAGATATAAATTTTAACAGTAGTGGGATATAAATGGAAGAACTGTGTTGGGTGTACAGAAGAGACTCTCTTATAGAAGCACTGGCCATGGTCACAAGATAAGAACATACTTCTTTTACATCAAATATCAATTTGAGTAATAAAGATTAAATTGAAATGGTACTATAAATGTTTTTGCTGTATGCAAAGAGAAATTACAACAATGTAAATTCTGAAAAGACTGAAATAATACAATGCTTGAGAAATAAATGTAAAATAACAGTAGTTTTATCAAATTAAATAACAATTTTGTGATAAAATTTGAAGAACTGTTGTTCAGAAATATATATCTTAAAGAGTATTATGGTATAATTGGTGGAATCATTGTTCTGAGATATAAATTATAATTTTGAATAATTGAAAGAACTGTTATTGTGCGATATAATAACATAATAGCATGATTAAGTTGTAGGAATTGTTGTCCAGAGATAATGGATTGTGTGGAAGTGTATATAATTAATTAATAATATAATATTAATATAATATATTAATGTTTTGATTGAAAAATGGCAGAATATTCATTCATGTTTGGTAATATAAGACACTGACTTGATTTATTGTGTTTGTAGAAAATTTTATAATTGATATCTCATCTTTATAATGTCAAGCGATTAAGAACTTCTTATAGCTTGACAATAGTTACCTTTATCATTTATCATTAGTAAATCAATAATTTGATTGGAATGTACTCTAGCAAATACAGCCCATCATAAGTCTTGACAGAAAGTCTGTGTCATAATGTTAACAACCAAAACTAACATTGAAGAAAAATGCATCATTATTTCATTCTTTTGATACTTTTTCACCAATTATTTTTTTCAACCCTTTCCTGAGTTAATTCAAAGGGTGTTTTAGTGTGGTAAAAGTTATGTAACCTTAAGATCTCCTTGGGGTTAATGGTAAAGGTGCCCGCACATGGAGAGAAAATGGCAGTATATGACTTAACTACAATAACAACTGCATTCCCTCCTCAGTGACTGAACTATCACTGTAGTAGTCCGCCATTTTAATTGATCATGTGATAGGCGGACGTCAGATATAGTTGAGTTAAAGGCACGTCATGTACGGGGAGTATTGTACGCCAAATTCACACCAATTATGTTTTAAGATATCTAGGGTATTGTTTCATATTCTGTTAATTGTTAATTGTATATCTTTGGGCAAATATATATTTAAGTTGTTTATGTTAATAAAGTATTTATTGCTTTGGAACCTGTTATTTACACAAATACAATTATCTAGATCTGAACTACCCATTTATGTCAAACATAGTTTGGAAAAAACTTAGGTTACTTATAATGTCATTCTTCAAGCTCTTAACTGAGTGTGAAGATATGGTAAACTAGTATTTTCTGTGTCTGTTTTTGATATTGATAGTTATTTTTAAGATTTCTGACTTACTGTCCTATCATTATGTGTAACAGCTGACAGAATGTAATTAGATTACAATAGATAAGTTTATTGCGTTAGTATGTGCATGTACAAAACATAATGCTGTAGCATAGACAAAGATAGCTTGCCAGGTAAGGTAATATACGCCCAATGTTAGCTTTGATTTTGAATAAAAATAATTAGCAGTACAGTAACAATCACCAGTATGAAATATTCTTTAGGGCGATACTGAATAATATTGAGTATGAGTTGTTCTTGAAAATGTGTTCAATTTTTAGCTCGTGAAAACTTTAAAAGGCAAATATTCAATCTTCAATCTAAAACCAAGTTTTGTCAAAATCCAGAAAGAATCATGCCTTTAAGTGTTTAAGAGCTAAATTTGAAAGCGGTTTCAAGAACAAGGGCAATAACTCATACTCAATATTTTTCAATTTTTCTGACTTTCAATAGGGTTCATTCTTGGGAGATTACGAACATTCACACCAAGTTTCATCAAAGTGATCATGTGCTAAAAATTGAACGAGTTTTCAATAGCAAGGGCAATAACTCATACTAAATATTTTTCGATTTTTCTGATTTTCTATAGGGTTTATCCTTGGGTGATAACAAACGCTCATGCCAAGTTTCGTCAAAATCCGTCAAGAATTGTCCCTTCTAGAGTGTTTACAAGCTAAAATTTTAACGCGTTTTCAAGAACAAGGGCAATAACTCATACTAAATATTTTTCAATTTTTCAAAACGGTTTATCCATGGGTGATAACCAACACTCATGCCAAGTTTCGTCAAAATCCGTCATACAGTGGCAATAACCTTAAAACCTTTCATCAGATTATATCCAATTTCGAACTTGACCGAGATTTCATCAATATATATATATGCATACCAGGTTTCATCAAGATTGGAGAAAAACTGTAGTCTCTATCATGCCTTCAAGCCAATTTTGACTTGTTTTTCTAAGTCAAGGGTAATAACTCCTTACCGTTCATCTGATAATTACCAATTTCAACTTAGACTGGGAAACTTTGAAGTTTTATTGGGATCAGATAAAGATAGCTTGCCAGGAAAGTTTAACATACAGCTTTGTTAAATTTCTAGACTCAATAAGGAGCAACATGAACCATAATGATTAATCTGTCAAGTTTCTATTTTAACTCAGAAAAGTACTCCTTACTCAAGATCTTATCACTGATTCCATATTATTCAAATGGAATGACAAATGGAATGACAAATGGACTCTACCAGGCGCATGTACAAATTTGACATTTTAACCTTTTAGTTTAATAAAAACTTATCCAATATATCAAATAATATATATATATGATACCACAAATTTGTATGTGTTAATGCGTTTTGACTTAGTCAAGGGCAACAACTCAACCATTTAACCGTTCAACAAAGAAATCTGAACTGTACAAGATCTCATCAATATATTTGATCGCAACAAATTTCACTTTAAGCAGATGGAAACTGTAGTCTGACGGAGTTAAGGGTAATAACTAAAAAACGTTCATTGAAAATTCATAAAATTCAAACTTGAAGGAGATCTTATCAATTTCATGCTCACACCAAGTTCCATCAAAGTCCATCAAAAATTTTAGATTCTATAGTGCCAACAAACAAATTTTGACATAAATTCAAGGTCAATAACTCCAAAACCGTTCGTCAAAAATCTGTCAAATTGAACTTGGCCGAGATCTTATCAATCCAATTCTCCCAAGTTTCATCAAAATCCATTGAAAATTGTAGCTCCTATTGTTCCCACAAATATATTTTGTCAAAGGGAAAATATGTTTATCGAAAAGTCGTCAAATTCAAACTTGACCTAGATTTTATTAATTCCAATGATCACACCAAGTTTCATCAAAATCAGATGAAAACTGAAGTCTCTATTGTGCCCACAACAAATGTTGACAGACAGACCAACAGCAATGGCAATAAACGACCGCATTTCCATGTAACCGTATAAATATATAACAAAAAGCAACATTGGCATATTATTGAATTGAGACAGAAAGCAATAAAATGTTTATAAAAATTATGAAATTTGAAAACTAGTAAGAGGGCCTACATTCTCTTTAATATCAGATAAAGCTAAACTAGTGTCTTGTCTAATTCTGATAAAGATAGCTTGGCAGAAAAGTTAACATACCACCACTGGTGGTTGTCAGAATGATTTTAGAGTCTTTATTGACTAAAATACAAATTCTCGGTGATGAATTTTGAATCAGTTTGAATTTATTGATATATAAATTTACTGTCAGTTACATATTGGGTTATTATATCATGATCTGTTCACTAAGACGTCATTTGCATAAAACCCTTACTTGATAAGATTAAATACTTCTAAATTCACACTGAAGTGTTTTATTCATATATTTTATTCTTTCACAGAAATGGGATTAAATTATCATGAATTCTGAAAAACTATAATATATATGTATAATTATGTTTCATAAGGCTGCCCAAGCAATAACATATTTCTACTATTGAGGAACTTTATAAGCAAGAAAAACAGGCCCTAATAATAAATATGCAATTTTCTGAAAGTTTTCTGAATTGCAATATGCGTGCACTTTCTTGTGAATTGCCTCTTAGTTACTATTTATAGCTAAACAATATGGTATAACCTATATTATTGATTAAACATTATGGTGTTAACCAATATCGTCTTCATTATTAAATTAGTCAATTATTAATCTCATAATTATAATTAGAATTACATACAAATTAAATATATACAATATAACCTATATAACAGAGATCAAATAAGATACAACCTAAGTAGAGTTAGGCGATGTGAGATTTTTTTTCTCATACCAGTTTTATTTGATGCTATCATATTGCCCAACTCTAACCAAAATTATTTGATGTATGTCCCGGAATATTAATTTAGAACTGATACAAGTCTATAACTCGTTATATACATCTATGTAATAAATATCACCATGTTTATGAGATTTTGACTGGAGAGGGATAATAATTGCTATTTCTTGACATTTAATAATAAATGTAAACCAAGTATGACCTGTAAAACATGTTGTCTTTTACCTCCTTACATTCCAATGTCATTGAAAGTGGACATGAATGACAAAATCAGCTGTCTGCAGAAAGAGTATTCACTTTTAATTGCACATAAAGAGTAGGATTGATCCCAATAGCAAAATACATACAGATATGAAATTCATATCCTCTCAATAAAAAATATAACTTGTTCAAGACCTTTACATAAGCACACCAAGTTTAATCAAAATCTATTGAAAAATCAAAATTAGGGGCGATGGTAGTGATGACCTAAATTTTCATAGGTGTCTAAAAACTACCATTAAATTGTATTATGAAAATAATCCTGATATACCTGAAAAAAAGGTACAAAAATATTCAAGGATGAGTATATATCTCCTAATTCATTGGAATGTTATTCCAATATTTTTTTTGTAACAGTTCTTTATCTATTTTATTAATTTCTTCATGCATAACACACGTTTATATTATTATCCCATGGCAACAGTTAATTCTGTAAATATTTCCTCAGACTGTTGACATGGAGCCTGTTTGAAATACCATTTGACTGCACTGTCACCTTGAATCATTATAATAATGGAAAAGCATGAAAGACTAATGATTTAAGCAATGTTATAATAACACATAATTGTTAAAATCATTCTCATCTTCAACATAAAATTACCATGATGTAATCAAATGAATATTTGACAGTTTAAAAATCAAGAGTAGGCCTACAACTATATTTTTGTTAAAAGGCAGTAGAAACATAAAACAAATTTGAAAAGTATAAGATATAGTTTCAAATACCTCAAAATCCCCAAAATAAAAATTTATACATGTATCATGAATTGACTACAATTTTTGATGGTCTTTTTTTCTTGGCATGTTGCTTTACCTTGCAAACATATTCCAAAAATCTATGTGTTAAGTCAAAATAAGAACTATCCATTTCTTTAAATATATAATTCAAAAAGTAGTAGCTTCTGGCATGTGACTCTGAACATAAAATGCAGCAAAATCATACTTAGGATAGAAATTTTCTATAATGTAGCAATGAAAATGAAACAAAAAAAAAAGAAATCAAATACCCCTTATCACCTATTGATAAAATAATAGTCTACAAAATGGTAAAGAATTTTCAATTACAAGCATCCTAAAGGCTTTACTTCCATCCACCAATTATCAGGATAAAAACTTTTTAAAATTTCAAAGTCACCTTTTGGCACTGGAATTTCTTTATCATAAAACTTGATTTTTGGAAATGGTGCTTCTAGTAAATGGCTCGGAATAGAAAGTTCATTATTACTGGAAAAAAGAAAATTATTCCATCCAATCTGTTTCAATGAAGAGCTACGAAATCGAAAAAACTCTTTATCAAATACATTGATATATCCATTAACTGTCTGATATTTCAATTCATAATGACCCATTTTGGATGAAAAGCTCATTTCTACACCAATATCTTTGAATCTTTTTTGTAACAGTTCTTTATCTATTTTATTAATTTCTTCATACATAACACACATGTCTATATTATTATCCCATGGCAACAGTTTACCAGATCTTAGTACACCCCACAGAGTTCCATAACACACTGCATGGGCTACTCCTAAATTCTGTAATACATCATGCATGATAAAAGTTAACTTCTTTAATTCTGTCAATGTTTCTTCAGACTGTTGACATGGAGCCTTTTTGAAATACCATTTGACTGCACTGTCACCTTGAATCATTATACCCAAAATATTCCAAGATATAACAATAACCAACACAAATATTACAATCTTGATATGTGAACGATAAGTTTTGAACACTGAGGCCATGTTGAAATGCTTGTTTCTGTCTGCTAACTGCATACTATACATCCACCTTCATAAGCCATCTACAAATAGAAATCAATAAACTAGAACATACACAGCTGATTAAGGTTGATATACTGTGGTACACTGAATTTAATGTGAAATTTATTCAGAAACTCAGAGCATTAATAATAATACTACTCTCGAAGTCTTACTAGAATACTACCAATACCTCATAGATTGGAGATAAAACTTGGTCAAAAAATGTATAACCATCAGTTTGACTCATTAGGATATCCAAACGTGTAACTTTTTCATGGATCAAACTCTTTCAAAGAAAATAATAACATAATCAGTGATCATTGCCTAGTTGGTACACATGAAATGTAGCTCAAAGCAAGGAATCCAGAAGACAAATAAAAAAAACCATACCAGTACCAATGTCTTGGACATAAGAAATTTTGCATTTGTTTTAATTTAGACTAAATTTAGCAGATAAAATGAATCCTTATATTCACAAATACCAGTTGCTTTGAGGTAATGATAGTTTTAGAATGACAACCCCATTGCTGAAATGGAAGCTCTGGAAGGATTGTAGACTTTGCAAGTTATTATAAGATCCCAGTGGATAGTTAGCCGTGAACCAGGCAGTTTCTTTTTCACAGGCATTTATTCATGTGCAATAGTACAAAAAAAGAAAAATTTCATCATCTCAACAGCCTTTCTTATTTTACAACTAGGCTCTAGATATAGTTTACCGGTACATGTAAAATCACGTTCATACTATTCATACCGTTTTCTAGCAGGTCTATAGACTACATGTCTAAGACTATAAATTCTCTAAGCAAAAGAATAAGAACAACAAAAATTAAAAAAAGAAGACAAAAACTCTGTTTATATAATTCTACTTACAAGAGAACTAGTTTACTGATCATAATAGGCCTGTATGCCTAGTAAATTTAAAATGCTCTGTGATATTGGTTCTCTGCGGCATCGTTTGATCATATTTGATTTAGTCTTATTTCTAATTTCAGGTTGTCGTAAAGATTAGTCCGAAAACCAAAACAAACACTCTGCCCACACACCAACCAAGTGTTGGTCTTTGGACTAGAATGTCATCTAATATTTCATGACACGTTGATGACTTACATCAAAGAGTTTGCATTAATTTTGTTTTGACCAAAGATTTGAAGGCTTCATATTATGATTATGAATTAGTCCATATTATTCGATAGAGTAGTTGGTCTGTTGGCGTAAGGGACAAACACAACCAATCGAACACAACCATTGGCTATGCTTTACGTTTCCGGTTGATTCGTTCACTTCACATTTTATTTTGGGGCTGAGATCAACTGGGCAGACAATAGCAAAGATCAAGTCCGCAGACGATAGCCAGCAGACAATAAGAAAATTGAACTTTTTGACTCATCCTCGCTATTCAGCCAATCAACGACAGCGACACAAGGAAAATTACCGGATTCCCTCAAGGGACGTAAATCATGTTATAACACATGGTGTCTGCGAACGTAAATTTTCAATGAATAACTGAATAGATGTAATTTGCTTTAATAAGAAAGCCATGGAAAACGTTTATTATTCATTTATCAGGCAATCACAAGATAGGCAGATCATCACAGACTCCTGACTTATTATTTTTCGCGATTACACAAGCATAAGCATCATGCCTACAGACCAAAATAAAAATTCCTATGGAGAAATATTATTACAATACGACAAATGAAAAAAACTTCAGAACCACCCATATTACTGTTTTGCCACTTTTAAACTAGGATAAATATTTAGATAAATGAACATTCTTTAGTTTCTATCTTTAACCGTTATATTATTCAAGGCTCTAAAATCGATGCACCATCGTAATGAACCGTCTTTCTTTCTGATTACCCAATCTACTTATGTCACTTCGAAAACTAGAAGTTGGCGAAAATGAATTAGAATTGATTCTGGTCTAATTTTTTTTTCGAATATCCTCTCAGCATTTCCTATATGATGTCCTTTTTTTTTTATGTCTTGCATGAATCAGAGTCATTTATTACCCGAAATATGGTATATCTGGACTTCCCTAGGGTTGAGGAAACCAACAAACCCTTTTTATTACTAGGATTAGGTTCAGACACGAAATCTCCTTCGATTTGTCTCAAAGTTCTGCTCGACATAAACCTACTGAATTTTGAGGTATTGTTATCCGTTTACTGACTAATACTTCAGATAAATCGTCTTTACTAGCGTATGATCGTAAATCAGCGTTGATTGTGTCGTTGCCGATTTGAACTGAAGGGCGCTCTATATTTATTACACATTTATGATGCGCCAAAAAGTCTAAGCCTAAAATTATGTCATCGTCCATAGCAATCATACACATCCCAATCAAAATATTTGTTACCTATTTTAATTGACATACCTGAAACGCGTCGCGCATAAACAGGTTGGTCTCCTAATCCTGAAAGTTTAATCATTTCTTTAAAAATTAATCGTCCATTATACGTTTTATATTTTCGTTAGCCAATGTAAGCATAGCAGTTCTTTCCTTGTCTTCGAGATCGTCCGGAGTCAGACTGAGAGTGTTCAGTATCCGACTCTGTCCTGTCACCGCGTCTTACACTATAGTACCTGTTACTGGAACGTCTATCGTTATAATGATGAGGTGGTTCACGATCCTGTTCTTGGCTATAGATCTGTCCCGTTCAGACTATCTAGGGAAACTCTGCCTAGCCCCCCTGTATTCGCCGATTGTATTTGAAGTCATTATAAGAGGGAACTTCGCCTTTGTTTCTATCAACATTATTTGCTTTGATTAACTCGGTCAATTTGTCAACGATAGAATCTAGCCGTTTGCCAAGCATTGAATCAAGTTGTTTCCCAAGTACAGAATCAAGTTGTTTCCCAAGTACAGAATCAAATTGTTTCCCAAGTACAGAATCAAGTTGTTTTCCTATCTTTTCGTGTAGAGTATCAAGATTGATCTCACTGGTGTTTTTAGTAGATTCTGTGTCCGATTCGGTCTTAAAATTAACTTGTTGATGTGAAAAGTTCTTGGAGCCAAATAGACTTTACTGGTTTGCTAAAAATAGTCTCATATGTTTCAAAGCGTCTTGAACTGATTTCGGATTCTTTTCCATAGCTTTTTGCGCTGCATCCCTCTCCTTACAACCACGGAGAAAGCATTCAATGGCTATTTGATTTCTAGTTTTACTGCTAGCGTCGATGTATAACCGTCCATGGCCAAAGTTTGAACACGTTGAGCAAATTCCGCAAGAGATTTGGTCTATAGTTGTGTAGCGATTGTAATTCGCGCCTAGCAGAAACAGGTTCTTCCTTCTCGCTAAAACGAATGTTTAATTCCTTCTTCTATACGATAGATCAGAAGAAAGCTTATCTGCGTATTCAAGAGTCGAATTTCTTAAACAGTCCATTAATCGATCTATTCTTTTTGTATTCGACTATTCTTGATGTCGAGCGATTCTCGCGAAATGCAACATAAATGGCTCCTTTAGGGTCGCCGGAGAAGGTTGGCATTTTTGGTTTCTGTGGACTTAGGCTATGCCGTCTTCGTCTATTTCTGTGTCGCCTACGTGTATGGTCCGATTCCATCAGACTTGTCCATGTCGGTATTGTCCGAGTCAGTTTTATTACTGTGGCCTTGAATTTATTGTCAATTTGTTTTACTGGTTTTGACTCGTAACGCTCAAGCTCGATTTTTACGGCGTTTGGCGTATCCTTCAATGTTCTAGGTAGAACATATTTAGAGTCTTGGTTTGTTGTAGTCAATTTACTAGTCATGGTGGGTAAAACTGGTAAATCTACACTAGGTCTTGATTTGTCTTCCATTATGTCCATTCGTTTTTGTACTTGTGCCATTTGTGTCGACAAGGTTACAAACTGTGTAGACATATTTTGAATTTGAACTATACGTTCAGCTATTTTATCTCCTTCAAATCTTATCTGTTTTAATTCTTCCACAGTTGCGGTCTGTATATTAATCGACTTCCCTACTCCGGCAATGTTTATGAAAAACAATGAGAAATGTAAAGTAACTTCTCTGGACAGAGGAAAATGTATATTAATAATAAATAATATGTCTTAAAACAAGGCGCTTGTGAGCTCTATTTTCACTTTTTACGGCAAAAAGAGCGTCGTGCAACCCTATCCTATGTGAAATATAAAGTGCCGATATCCTATTGAGAAAAGTACAAGTGATTGGCTTCTATAAGAAGACCAGTGCAAGAATTAAAATGTACTTTCGGGTCATAGAACTCAATTGAGGACAACGTGCGTATCTAACCTACGTGTTAAACCAAGATAGCTTAAAGCCCTCAAGGTGGAAACTCAATCGAAGTGTAACCGACAGAGTAACCGTCGAATGTATCAAAATAGAAATATGGCTTACAATTAAATCAGCTCAAAATTTCATTAATATAATTCTATAATTCTATAAAATAAATCTAAATAATTAATACAAAATATATCCAACAAAATACAATTTATCCCACTTCTGACACCAACTGTAGCGGAATCGCTACATGGCAGAGGAGTAACTACTCAACTCTGCTGTGGGTAAAGTATGGTGTTGGAAATGCCAAGAAGTAATAAGTTAAACTTTATGTACACTTAAATACAATCAGGTTACATAGACAATTCGGTCGTACATTCAATGCAGCTCCTAAATCTGTTGTGTCGATCTGCAGGTAGGTAGGTATATAGGTAGATGACAAGTTAACGTTCGCTTCCAGCGGATGCTGATATCGCAAACTAGGTAGTTGTTGGTAGTCGTAGTAGTTGGTAGTTGGGTTGGTTCAAATTGGATGATTCTGTGTTGTTGGTTTGATTGTTGATTCTTCGTTAGACCTGGTCGGGTCGAATGGCATGGCAGTGAAACTCGGCCCTGGATGGTGTGGCGTGAGTTACTCGATCTCCTTCATTCTTCCAAACTCGTTCTGATCTTGGTTTCGTTTGGTTTCAGGCCCGTAGCCAAGGGAGGGGGGAGGGGAGTGAAATAAAATCTTGCCCCCCTTCCCCTAGAAAAATGTACCGGTCACTTTTTTAAAATACACCTTTTCTTTTTCCTGAATTAATAGGAGCGGCAGGTAACTGAGTCTGAGTGAATAGCCAACAGTGGTCATTCTGGTCAGGCATTTTATGGTGGAGTAAGTGCACCAGTCAGCTGATCTTGCATTGTCGATCATATGATGATTATTTCGATATTTTGATATACGTAACGAAAAATAAGGTTATGGCTTTCAGGGCTGCGTTATGCGAAATGGTTCAACAAAATACTAACTATTCCTATCTGTAGACCTACTTAAGAACTGTTTTTAAATATCTTTCTCTTTATACTTAGCTGAGGATGAAACCAGACATCATAGCTTTACATCATAGCTTTTCATAACATTTTTAAATTTAATTACATTAGAATAGACAATTTGATACAATTGAGTTTATTGAAAATCATAAAAAGGCTGCAGTAACGCGTCATTGGTAACAAAATTATTGGTCTGATACTGGATTGTAATCTGTCCCGTCTCAAAATTCAAAAGATTTGATTGGTTGATTATAAATACTAATAGACATATATTATCCTAAATTGTATTCATATGAATCAAACAAACAAACGTAGGAAAAATGGATAAATATTTGATCAAAAAAGACAAATTGCTTGATGGTTCCGACACTACTACGACTGACAATGGTATCAAAACCACAGCGGGCAACACAACGGATGCAGTACCAAGATGCTCTGAAAAGACAGGAGTACCAGGTGACATTGGAAAAGAAGACGTTCCAAAGCAACCGAGAATAAAATTTCCAGCGAAGTCTGGGTGCCATTTTAGTAACAGCTGGTATGATCGATTTCCATGGCTGGAGTATTCAGTGTCAAGGGACGCGCCTTTTTGATTTCCATGTCGGGTGTTTCACAATACATCTGCGGGTGCATAAAAATAAATTTTTTTGTTTTTCATTTTTATTGTTATTTTTTATTATTATGATACCTATAGTTTTTAATAATATTTATTTTTAACAAATGTTATATGTTATTTCAAATACACTGGCAGACTGTTTTGTGGGGGCTTGTTGGAACTCAGGGGAGGGGTTATATAGACGACAGCCTGTTACCTAATCTTTTTCATAATTTTGTGAATATAATATTGTTTTGAAAAAAAGATGAATACATCTGCTGTCGAGGCCGAATTCAATGTGCAGCAAGAGAGAATTCTCCCTAAAAAAAATTGAATTGATAACCATTAGATTTTTATACGTTTTTGTCTCAAAACATGTGTCAGCAATCACTATCATTCTGACACATGTTTTGAGACAAAAACGTATAAAAATCTAAATTTCTAATTTTGTTTAAAATAATGTGGGGTACAGTTGGGGGTGCAAACAATTTTCTAAGGGAAGGTAGTAGGGGGGGGGGGGGGGCTGTTCCCCCACTGGCGTCGCCATTGTCCATATCCCATCTACGACTCGATCTGCACCAATGATAGTGGGAAACCTATGCATATTTCATGCACAAAATCCAGATACCATCGTTCATAACAGAACAACAGGGAGTCTGTAGAACTATTTTATAATGGTGTAAACCTTTTAGATACTTACTCTGGTACATTTTTTTTTTAAATTGTAAAAAATTGAGCCACTGTCAACAAACTATTTGAAGACTTCATTATTACATTGTCCATAGATTAACGCTATACTGTACTACCCATGTATAAAAAGTATTGAAAAAATAGACAACTATTCAATTTTTTATTTATGAGCATTAATGATATGTAAGATTTTCTGATTTAATAGTTATAGAAGCAATTAACATTTGTAACATAAAAATGTGAACAAACTCTAGAATCCATGTCCAAAACCCATAATGAAATCTTTTACATCCTTTAAGACGCTTTGCCGTCCAAAACATGCATACACTACCGTAATCTAGGGTACTTTTTCAAACACTAACCATCATCTGTTACATTCAGAACTAAAAAAGAAAAAAAATTAAAACAGATTTAGTTTCCTCTTCCAGAACAAAAACTATACTCTATTATTTTAGTCTTTTTGCCGAAGGCTCAGATTTGCTGTATTCGTCAGTGAACAATCAAATAAAGCGGTGTTTTAGGTCGATTTTTCAGATTAAAAGCAAAAATTCTGAGATACCACACCTAGTGGAACCTAAAGAATATTCATGTATCTTAATATTTATTCTAGTCTAAAAGTGGCAAAACGGGGTTAATAGTAGTTATGATGTCGACAAACGTGATATATAACTTGTGAACATTAGCCTCATGGGGGTGATTCAGGTCGAGTTTTCGGACTAAAAGCAGAAATTCCGAGATGCTACACATAGTGGAACCTAAAGAATATTCATTTATCTTAATATTTATTCAATTATAAAAGTGGCAAAACGGGGTTAATAGTAGTTTGATGTGATATTAGCTTAGGCCTTAATGGGGGTTTTCAAGTCGAGTTTTCGGATTAAAAGCAGAAATTCCGAGATACTACACCTCGTGGAACCTAAAGAATATTTATTTATCTTAATATTTATTCTAGTCTAAAAGTGGCAAAACGAGGTTAATAGTAGTTTTGATGTCGACGAAAATGACTTATAGCTGCTTAAAGTTAGCCTCATGAGGGTGTTTCATGTCGAGTTTTCGGATTAAAAGCAGAATTTCCGAGATTCTACACCTAGTAGAATCTAAAGAATATTTATTTATCGTGATATTTATCCTAGTCTAAAAGTGGCAAAACAGTAATATGGGTGGTTTTTTTCCATTGTCGTATTGTAATAATATTTCTCCATAGGAATCACGAAAAAGAATAAGTCAGGAGTCTGTGATGATCTACCTATCTTGTGATTGCCTGATAAATGAATAATAAACGTTTTCCCCAGCTTCTCTTATCTTGTTAAAATAAAATTACTTCTATATCCAGTTATTTATTGAAAATTTACGTTCACAGACAACATGTGTTGTTATGATATGATTTATGTCCCTTGGAGGAATCCCGGTAATTTTCCTTGTGTCGCTGCCGTTGGTTGGTGAGGATGAGTCAAAAAGTCTATTTTCTTATTGTCTGCTGGCTATCGTCTGCGGACTTGATCTTAGTTTTTGTCTGCAAACCTTATCGTCTGCCCAGTTGATCTAGTCTATTTTGTTATTTGGTTATACTTATAGTTAAACAGTACGTTACTCGTAATATAAATAGCAAAGGCCAACGCTTTTAGCTTATATTTTATGTGTAATATAATTTGAACTTATAAATGTGTTATCTCCCTCCATTGAAATTGACCATTCCAATAATTATTTATTTTATTCCAAAAATAAAACCCAGTATTTTTATTGTTAGAGTAGAACTTGCCTTTGGTTCAAGAAGATTCTGTATCATGAGCTGTTGATTATTTTATCTACTTTTTAAAAGCCTACAATAGATTAAAGTAGGCACAATGACACTCACTCTTAAAACAGACAGTCCTGCAGTAGGCCCAGGCCATTGAATTGATGGTACTACTAACTATTATGAGGCTGTAGAAGACTAGAGCACATACTAAACTGTATATCCTGGGTGACCGCTTGTAACCCTGTAATTGCCATATTGAGCATTTTGACTTTTTGTTACCGTTCGAAAGCTCAAAAAAAGTGTGGATCTTGTGATCAAATCCTCGTATTCTTAGCTTGATTGTGAATATCTCAAAGAGCACTAATTAAATAGCACGTATATAAACAGTCAGATTTAAAACCTCGTAAAATGTATTATTATACAAGGTTCAATGTGGATGAAAATGAAAAACCTCGTATACGGTATTATTATACATGTTTTTGGTTCAATAGGCCGGAGATCTCAATTTGTTATACGAGGTTTATATTTTCAAAGAATGAAAACCAAGTATAGCAGTAAAAAAAATTATAAAAAAAGATTTTAACAAAATACGCGTACAAATAATTATTTGCGTTTTTCTAGAAAAGTAATTTTGCGTCATATATCGTTATACGAGGTTTCAAGCGATCACCCACGATATATGATACAATTTTTTATGTTAGAATGGATGACGATTTTGCTAAACAGTTACAAGAAGAAAAACTTGCTCAGATAAAAGCAGAAAGCCAACAAACATATACTGATAAAGATGGCACAGTTTATGAATGGGATGATGAGAAGAAAGCTTGGTTTCCAAAGGTTAACATTTTTTAAGCTTGAATAAGCACAAAGGTTTTCAAACAGACATCTGACAAGTCCAAAATGTCAACAGATAAAACCTTTTCAATGGGTGAAAGTATGTAGTATCTAACTCATGTTATGTTGGTATTATCCTGTGCTGCTGATTTACAATATAATTTGTTGAAATTTTGTTAGTTGTAGTGGAATTTTACTTTTTCAGATTGATGAAGATTTTATTGCAAATTATCAGTTAAATTATGGTAACAATGGTCAAACATCTGAGGAAAAACAAGAAGAGAACTCTGAGAAATCTACAGAATATGATCAGAAAGCATATGAAAAATATTGTCGCGAATATTATAATTATTATGGTTATGAATATAAAGGAGATGAAGCTACCTCTAGTACTACTGAAGACGATAAATCAAATATAAACCCTACAACTGGTCAACCATTCAAAGATAATGCAGAATACTATGCTTATTATTATGGTGAAGAATATGCTGAATATTATAAAAATTTTGATGGGGATCAAGTTTCTACGCCTGGTAGTAACACCACAACAAAGAAAAAACCTAGCAAGAAAGAGTTAAAGAAACAACAAGCTGGTGAAAAAAGAAAAGTTGCTCCAGAACAAGAACCAGGTTTGTAAGAAATATGTCCTATAAACATCAACTATCTACAAATTATCCAAATATACATCCACATGAAAATGTGAACATCTATGTTGTTCATTCTGGATATACTAAGAATATATGAAAATTTATAGCACCTCAAATATAAACATCAATGATCAGATTAAAAATTGTTTCTTACTAGATGGACTGTAAACAAATTACTTTGTTTTCTGGACATTATGTCTGAATGTTGTCAAATCTAAAATGAACAAATTTTCCCACAAAAATTCAAAATGTATAGAGTTGTGCAATATTAAGTCAAATGATATTTTCTAGCCACCTGGTTTAAATATGAAGCTGATGAAGGAACCCATGTTTATGTCAGTGGTTTACCATCTAGTATCACTGAAGAAGAATTTCAACAACTCATGTCCAAATATGGACTTATTATGTTTGATCCACATAATAAAAAACCTAAATTGAAATTATATAAAGACAGTGAAGGGAATATGAAAGGTGATGGTCTCTGTTGCTATATAAAGGTAAAATACATTCTTGTATTCTATAATATTCTACATTTTGACAAGAAAAAAATGGATAAAATGAAATGCATGAGATTTTATTTCTTAGTCTTCTGCACTTCTGCACCTAATTGGCTAATAAAGACGTTCAACATCATGCAGTTTGCAATGAGGGAAATTAGCCTACTATTTTTCAGTTTCAAAATGTGGAGTGATCTTTAACGTGCAACAGCCTGTAGCATACTGGGCCTCTTCTCAACCTATGCTGGCTCCCTGGATATTTGAAACAGCCCAATTCATGTTGTGGTGTGAACTTGTAACATTCTGTCCTTAAAATGCTTAAGTTTATGGAATATCTAGGTTCTAGGTATTACATATGTCTTTTGGTCGTGAAGGCAATTTCATATTCTATATCCATGGCACCGAAATTTAAGTTATTTATGTTTATATTACAGAAAGAATCAGTAGATTTGGCATTGAAGTTATTAGATGGTTTAGAATATAATGGAAGTACAATCAGTGTAGAAAAAGCACAATTTGAAATGAAGGGTGAATTTGATCCAACAAAGAAGAAAAAGAAATTGAGTAATAAACAAAAGAGAAAAATGAAGGAAAAACAAGAAAAGTAAGTCATCTTTAAGCAAAATTTATGGGTAAAGATTACAATAAAAAAACAGAAAACAATTTTGTGGTATACTACGCCTGGAATTTATTGTATGCAATGTTTCAACAATTTACATTTTCATCATCAAGTGAATTGTGTTCCGTTATTTAAACAGAAGTCAGATATTAATATCGTATTTTGCTTTTTTTTTGAGAATTTAGGAAAAAAATTTTACAGGGTAAGGGAAATAAACCTACGGAAGCATATTAGGGGGCCATTCATTTTTTTTTTGAATTTTCAAGTTTGTATGTTGAATTTTCAAGTCAGTATATTGAATTTTCAAGTTAGTAACTCGAATTTTCAAGTTAGTTACTTGAATTTTCAAGTTATTTATCTTTCAAGTTAGTATGTTGAATTTTCAAGTTAGTATCTTGAATTTTCAAGTTAGTATCTTGAATTTTCAAGTTAGAATGTTGAATTTTCAAGTTATTATGTTGAATTTAGTAACTTGAATTTTCAAGTTAGTATCTTGAAAATTCAACATACTAACTTGAAAATTCAAGTAAATAACTTGAAAATTCAAGTAAATAACTTGAAAATTCAAGTAACTAACTTGAAAATTCAACATACTAACTTGAAAATTCAAGTTACTAACTTGAAAAGTTGTTGAAAATTCAAGATACTAACTTGAAAATTCAACATACTAACTTGAAAATTCAACATACTAACTCGAAAATTCTACTAACTTGAAAATTCAACATACTAACTTGAAAATTCAACATACTAACTTGAACATACTAACTTGAAAATTCAACATACTGGCTTGAAAATTCAACATACTAACTTGAAAATTCAAGTTACTAACTTGAAAATTCAACATACTAACTTGAAAATTCAACATACTAACTTGAAAATTCAAAAGAAAAAAAAATGAATGGCCTTAATACGCTTCTGTATAAACCAGATGAGGTTTTGAATTTGTTCATTAAGGCGAGTTTAGTTTAGTCTGGCTTGATTGAGGCTCCATGAAAATAGTTACTTTTGGATTAGTTGTGGGTTGAAGTTATTTAGTTTTTAACAAAATTAGAGTTACCTCCCATCCTATGATTCTGAATGATGATAGGATATGTATTCAGAGAACTATGTCAGTATACAGTTCCATGATGTATTGAAATCCATTGCAACATCTGACAAATTTTTGATATCAATACAATTTCAATCATGATCGCATTTCATGAAGCCAACCTTTTTTTCCCATGTATACACAATATAAGTTAGCAGGACAATTGGTTTTTGGAATTGGTGCTCCTTTTCCATAATTGAACTGTAGACCAATATCTAGTGGGGGTGACAGCTTTCCGAAACTGTACAAATAGGGGCAGACTGACTGGTGAGGCCAAATTAAATTGAATTGAATTGGTGCATTCTGACACATAGTTTTATGCAAAAAACATATAAAAATCATTATTTTAAATTTGTTAAAAATACACTGGAGGTACAATTTGGGGTGAAAACCATTTTTCTAGTCAAAAACTCCATTGCCAATATTATTGCACATTTATTTTTGAAGCAGTTATAATACAGTTACAGAACTGGGTTCTCAGATAAAGATTATTATTATAGATTATTTGAATGGAAGCTAGATAAACCAGTTGATATCCGATTAAAACATGAAAGAATTGTCATTCTTAAAAATATGTTTGATCCAAAAGAATTTGAGGTAAGTTAATTTTGAATCTGTAAATAGTGTATATTTGAAAAAGAAAAATAATTCTTAGTGAATAAGCTTATATCAATGAAGAGGACAAAATTTTTTAAAATTTCTGTTTTTCACTGAAAGGCTTTATATCATGTGGAGGTTCTAGGTGTCGTATGTTCTTCTCATCATTTTGAAAAGAAGAAAAGCGGGGGAAAATATTTGAGATGTCAGACGTTCTTTCTTGTACAGATAAAAATGTAATTTACCTTATTTCTTGTAACAAATATGATGTTCAATATGTTGGACCCAAAATGCATTGCATACTCAGTTTACCTGCCATCGTTTTGATATACTTCATAAGAAAGATAGACCCATCCCAATCTTCAACCTACCCAATCATTCCATTGAAGATATTCTTGTTGTGCCCATTGAAAAAGTTCCCTTATGACTATTAAACCCAAAACTAAATCATACCCTTTGTTGCAACCTTTGATTCCACTGCCAAAAATGCTTCTCTGATTATCAAACAATATTACAAGGAACTTCAAGATCAATTTCCAAATATCATTACTAAAAGTTTGGTCATGGCTTTTCAAAGAAACAAAAACCTAAGTAATTGTTCATGGCAAATTGGACCCCATTCCATTATTTCTCTGAAACAATTGCATTATGTGTTTTATACAATTATTTTTTGATTATTAGTAAGCATTATAATAATATTTCTTAGTATCTTCAACCAACTCTAAAAGTAGTCTTTTAATTTTTTTCTGAGTAAGGATAACCTTTTTATTTGTTTTTTTTTTACCCAGGAAAAGATCAAAACAATAGATATTTTAATGTGGTTTATGTTTCAAAAACACATGCGAATAATTTGATAGGACTAGTTTATGCCTACATCAGAATCAAATTAAATTTTGTAAAACTAGCAGTGTAGCTACAAGATCTTTAACAAGTTTGAATTTCGATATGATTCAACAAAAATTGATTGAGTTTTAACCCTACTGAAATACATTAAAAGCAGTTTTTGAATGCTATAGAGACAACAGCTTTTGTTTTGAATTTTGTGTAAGATTATTTCAACAAGTTCTTGAACAAGTTCCTATTTGTGTACGATCCGATGAACATTAATGTAGTTTCAACCCTTGATATACCAAAAATTTATTAGAAAAGTGGGTGCTAGGCCATTGCTTGTATACTCAAATATGATTTTGGTGATTTTTCTTTTGATATTTTGATTGGCTGACAGGACAAAAATATTTTGATATTTGTACTTTTGTATATTATATGATTATAGTTTTTTTCATAAAAATAATTAGGACTTTTTACAGTAACTAGATTATAAGATAAAGATTTCTAGAAGACCAAATATATATCATTGAAGGATGGGTGCTGTACATAATGAATTTTACTTAGACTTCTCTCTAGTGAAGATAGTTTATTAAATGATTTATGGGGGAGATAAATTTTTGCTGAAATACACTAGCTTGGCTTTTTCTCTGTGTATTTCTATTCTATTTAAATTCCTAACTTTAATGAACTTATCAATATAACATTCCATCTTGTCATCAAATAAAGAGAAGAAAAGTTGATAAGGTACTCTGATCTTCTTTCACAAGCAGGGCGCCATATTTCTTTTCTGGAATAACTGCTTAACATATTTCAAACACTGTGTTGTTTTGATACTTTCAGGATATTTATTTCGCTTTAATGTTGCACCATTCTGTCTTTTTACATAGTTGACATGTTAGAAATATTTGACTTGTCTGGCATTATGCTAGAATTAGGCGTTTATTAAATAAACTAATTTTCATCTAATATTAGATCATGTAAAAACCACAGTAGTTTCATTAATAACATATTTTACAGTAATAAACTATCCATTTTATTACTTCTTTTTATTTCCTAGTCTTCTACATGTTGTTGTTGTTTGTGTTGCCAGCCAAAATATCATTATGTCATGCTTTTTACAAGAATATTTCATAGTTTCAGCATGATCTTGTTTTCTCTGTTTTAAAATTGCAAGATTACACACCCTTTATGGTCAAATGACAAAAGGAAAAAATTGTCACTAATAAGAATGGAGATGGGCTTTCTTAATATTTTGCATGTTTTAATAAAACCCAAACAATACATTTCTGACAAGATTTCTAGGTTTTGATAATAAAAACTTCTAGTCAGTATTGTATTCTCAACAAGTTATGTGAATATAAAACTAATGTCATGTGTTTTAAGTTTAAATTGAGAAGGAAATAGAAGAGCTCCTTGTCTTATCCCTCAATAACTTGATCATATATATAAACATAGAATAACAACATCAACTTCTTTTTTCTTGTTATGACATTTCTGACATTTTCCTACTAGCTAGAAACTGATACTGTTTTAATGGGTCCCAAGTTGAATACATTGGTGTTAGTTGTTTTTAGCTTGTTCCTTGTATTGAGTGGTTTATGAGAAGTAAAATATTTAGAAACCTATAGTTAAGTCCAGGCAGATGATTGTGTACAGTGAGTAAGACCACACTGTTCAATTTTCGCAGCTGTTGAACACAAGGCTTGGTAACTTTCAGCGGTCAACTGTCATAGCACTCAGTATCTTGTTAACTGTTTATTTGCAATGAAAATAATTGAAAACTTAAAATTCTTCTGTTATAAGAAACTGTTAATCAAATAGTATATATCATTGTCTTCAACACCATATGAATTTCTAATACACAAATTATTAAATACATTTTTTGACACACTTGAATGTTATGTATGATTTTGGCTTGAATTTTTAGTACCATGAATAAGTTCCAAAATATACTTTAACAGATTTTTTATCTGAATAATTTCTGATATTTTGCTATGATTGCAAAGATCATAATATCAATTTAATTACAATTATAAGTAATATTAAAATGTTGAATATTTATTAGTGTATGAGGTAAAGATTTGAATTTTGTTCCTCAAGGACTGCTGTGACAATAATGAGAACAATGTAGAAATGAATACATGACGTGAAGTGAAATGATGACAATGTGTTATATTTCAATAAGTTATGTCTATCATGTTGTAAGGTGATCATTATTCACTTTCACATTGATATATTTTCATCTCCAATCACATATTAGGCATTGTTGAGAAAAGTCACAGGTTCCTCAAGTTGATGTATAATTAGTAGCACATGCTTTGTCTTTGATACATTGAAGTAAAAATGTGGAGAAGCTTGTATCTTTGTGAATATTATAAACAATTATTTGTAGAATTGTAAACTTATCCCAGGCATCTGTATTGGTTTGATATATAGAAAGATAGAAAGAAAGTAGCAAATCTTAGATTTGACGCAATTCAAAATAACACACTTTTCCTTTGTAGGGTTTCGCATCTGTAAAACCTTTGTTCTGTAATGTTACTGATAGGAAATAGAACTCTGTACTAATATATAGAGCTAAAGTAATAGAATTTAGAGTACAACTTATAGAATATGACTTGCAATCTTTTTTTTTAGAATTATGATTTTTCTCTAGTCGTAATTAACTGTATTTCAAAGTATATTGATAATTGATATATTTCATTATCATATTTGAGGTTATAGAATATTCTAATGACAGGTTATATAATAATTAAGTATATGTTTATAATAATATTTATTATTAATTATAATGATTGTATAAAGTCCTTTAATAATATAAATATTGATGTTTATATAATATTCAGCATAATAAATTATCCTTCATGTTCTTGAATAATGAACTATAAAAAGTTTTTGATCTTTGAAGTTCAATTGATGTTCATGATGTTAACTTGGTTGTTTGAGAAAAATATTTTTCCAACATCTTCTTCTATAGATTTTATTAAAATGAAAATCTAGATATAATAATATTATAAGACATATAATAGTATCGAAAATCTAGTTTCTTTTTTAGAAAGTTTACTTATTAAGATATGCAAAATAATTTCATGACGAGTCTTGTCTCCTGCAGAAAAATTTGTATTTTAGTTTCTTTCTGGTATTTTATGTATTTCTACACACTAGAAAAATTATGTAGCATTATTTATTTTGATTTAATGCAATTCTTGCACAAACTTTTATTTCATATTAAAATTATTTATATTTTCAGACTGATCCATCATTAATTAATGAATTAAGAGAAGATGTAAGAACAGAATGTTCTAAATTTGGTGATGTTAGAAAAGTTACCGTTTATGATGTAAGTAGAATGATACATATGACACAAAAGGGTGTGTGTGTTATAAATAGAAAAATTCTGACAATCCCTTCTCTTGGTACTCAACAATATATTGGGCTTTGTTAATAATGTGATGACAATTTCAAGGTTTTTCATTTATATCAGAAAAGGAGTAATCCTTGCTCTTATGCATCATTTGGTTATATATTTTTCAAAAACAGTCAGATTTTCTTTTTTGGTATAATGTTTAAAGGTATAGAATGTAGATTGAGGCATACTGCCTCTTTAAAATATACTTCTAAACATTTTATAGAAAATTATAATATTTCTAATAAAATTTAGGAGAATTATTACTTGCTAGCAAATTTTGTTTTGATAGAAAATTTACTCATAAAGAATTATCATGTTTCTTAAAGAATAATTACTTGTAAACAAATTTTCACTGTTGGGTACTGTCCCTCCCAGTTAATATATTTTGGCTATATGAAATATTAGGCAGGATAGAAGCTGACACTTGTTAATATATTGTAATTATTTTAATGTTATATCATGCTAGGAATAGAGTGAAATTAATTAAAAACCAGAACACTATATCAAATATGATCTTGGTGTTCTGTTCTTTTTGACAATCAACAGCTCCAAAATATGACAAAATTTTGCTGGTATCCCATGTGAAAATTCTACATTGACACATGTTTCCACTGTGACATACAAATAATATCATCTGAGGGAACTGTATTGAGTTGCTTTGAAAAATAAAACAGAAAAATTGCATCAAGGGCTCCTGAAAATTAGGTAGCTTTAAGAACCATCTTATAGAAAGCATTTCTGAATAGTGAACACAACTTCATTTTAAAAATATCCATCGGCATAGCTAGTTTCAACATTCAAATTCAATTAACATAGCTATTTTCAATATTCAAATATCAATCAGCAAGACTATTTTCAAAATTCAAACAGCATAGCTTGTTTCAAAATTCAATCATCATAGCTTTAATATTCAAATTCAATCAGCATAGCTAGTTTCAACATTCAAAATTTAATCAGCATAGCTAGTTCGATATTCAAACTTAAATCAGCATCTAGTTACAATATTCAAATTAAAAAAAAAGGACTAGCTTCAATATTCAATCAGCATAGCTTTTTTCAATATTCAAATTCAATCAGCATAGCTATTTTCAATCTTCAAATACAATCAGCATAGCTAGTTTCAAATTCAATCAGCATAGCTAGTTTCCATATTCAAATTCAAAAAGCACATTTAGTTTCAATATTAGAATTCAATCAGCATAGCTAGTTTCAATATTAGAATTCAATCAGCATAGCTAGTTTCAATATTAGAATTCAATCAGCATAGCTAGTTTCAATATTCAAATTCAATCAGCATAGCTAGTTTCAATATTCAAATTCAATCAGCATAGCTAGTTTCAATATTCAATTCCAATCAGCATAGTTAGTTTCCATATTCAATTTCACTTGACAAAGCTATTTTCAATATTCAATTTCAATCAGCATAGCTAGTTTCCATATTCAATTTCACTTGACAAAGCTATTTTCAATATTCAATTTCAATCAGCATAGTTAGTTTCCATAGTCAATTTCACTTGACAAAGCTATTTTCAATATTCAATTTCAATCAGCATAGCTAGTTTCCATATTCAATTTCACTTGACAAAGCTATTTTCAATATTCAATTTCAATCAGCATAGTTAGTTTCCATAGTCAATTCACTTGACAAAGCTATTTTCAATATTCAATTTCAATCAGCATAGCTAGTTTCAATATTCAATTTCACTTGACAAAGCTATTTTCAATATTCAATTTCAATCAGCATTGCTAGTTTCAATATTCAAATTCTCTCGACAAAGCTATTTTCAATATTCAATTTCAATCAGCATAGTTAGTTTCCATAGTCAATTTCACTTGACAAAGCTATTTTCAATATTCAATTTCAATCAGCATAGCTAGTTTCAATATTCAATTTCTCTTGACAAAGCTATTTTCAATATTCAATTTCAATCAGCATAGTTAGTTTCCATAGTCAATTTCACTTGACAAAGCTATTTTCAATATTCAAATTCAATCAGCATTGCTAGTTTCAATATTCAAATTCTCTCGACAAAGCTATTTTCAATATTCAATTTCAATCAGCATAGCTAGTTTTAATATTCAAATTCATTCAACACAGCTAGTTTCAATATTCAAATTCAATCAGCATAGCTAGTTTCCATAGTCAAATTCAGTCAGCATAGCTAGTTTCAATATTCAAATTCAGTCAGCATAGCTAGTTTCAATATTCAAATTCAGTCAGCATAGCTATTTTCAATATTCAAATTCAATCATGATATCTAGTTTCAATAATCAAAGTAAATTAACATAATTTCAATATTTGAATTCATTCACACAGATAGTTTCAATATTCGAATTTTATTAGCACAGCTAGTGTTAAACAGCATAGCTAGTTTCAAAAAACATGGCTAGTTTCAATCAGCACAGCATAGTTTATATAAATAGTTATGCATAGTTTCAGTATTCAAATTCAAACAGCAAAGCTAGTTTCAATATTCGAATTTAATCAGTTCAATTCCCTACCTTTTTTTTTTTTGAAGCCAGCCTGTAAAATAACAAGTCAGTTTGTAGAAATTGTCAATATAATGATTAATGAGACAGGACTTATGTAGAAAAATTAGATGATTGAGAAAAATTGTATGAGAAATAGTTACATGTTATTATCTCATAGCTATCTACTATATCTACATATATAGCTGACTTTCCAGATGGTTGTAACCTACAGAGTTTAATTTGATAGCTTCTAATATTCTCTCATAAATCTCCCCTTGTCTACACAATTTTCAATTGAGTACACCCATACTCTTCTAGTGAGTTGACAATTTCAGTAAATTTGGTTATGCAAAGTTTCAATAAGAAATATTTTCCATGTTAAATTGGCTCAATACACCAATTGTAGAGCAATATATAAATATTAAAATATGAGTTCAAGTTACATGCCATCTTCATACAATTGATCTGTTATGGACCAATGATCAGTTGTCTGAAGACTGCATAACATGAAACTCTGAGTAACTATTTGGTTTTAGGTTCTATTTTAATATTTCTATGCATAGTTTCAAGTAAGTGGAAAGATAAAATTTGATGATAAATATTTTTCATCTATATTGATGAGATATTTTCCGTTTTTCATCAGTTTTAAACAACAATCGTGTTCATTATTTGACCAATTTGTAGTCTTGCATGAAAATTATAGAAATGAATGGATGGAATAAGACCAAGGTATCTAATTTATATGCCCATTCTTTATTTGAATGTGTGTATAAGTAATATCTATCTTTTATTTTAGCGTAATGTAGAAGGTACAATATCTGTAATGTTTAAAACACCAGAAGAAGCTGATGTTTGTATTGAAGCTTTACATGGTCGATGGTTTGCTAAAAAACAAATACACGCTGAAACTTATGATGGTAAAACTAAATATGAAGTAGAGGAAACAGAAGAAGAAAAAGCTGAACGTATTCAAACTTGGAATAAATTTCTTGAAGGTGAAGCATCTGCTAATAGTGACTCTAAAGGTGCTGTAAAGCCTTCAGCTGCAACTGATGCTGATGCTGCTGCTGTAGACTCCAGTGTAGTGACTGACAGTGTCTCTCCTGGTGCCTCTGTTAATAAAGACAATTTTATGATCCCTCAGGAAAGTACTAACAGTACAGTTACTAATACTGTAGATTCTGGTGCAACCACTGCCACTGTTATAGATGAATCTAACAATGAAAGTAATTCTACTGTGCCTGAAATTGAAGATGTTCCTTCAACAAACACTGCCGGTTCAAAAGACTGAAAATAAAGAATAGAAACCCTCATTATTACTAATCATAGTAAATGGAATACACAAAAATCACAAAATCTACTTAGACTTAGACCACAATATTTACCTATGCTAACTATTTGCTCACATATGGGAAATATAGCAAGCAATTTCGTATTTGTTTTCTTAAAGAACGAAATTAGTAGGTTCTTTCTAGTGATTTCACTGAGAGTCCAAGTTTGGGTTGAATCAACTGTCAAATGTTTCATTTCCGCTTTGATTGATTTTGGTTTAATGAAATTTACATGTAAAACTTTATTACTGTGACTCTTATATAGAAAAAATGCTGCTGGTTTTAGTCCAAATATGTGCACACATTGCTGATGGTTAACATTTTTTAAAATCCAATTTCAATTTGGTCAAGTACAGCTAGCTATAAGATGGGTTTGATTTTGTCCCATTGATTTCCAAAAGCAAAATGAGACTTATACATCAAACTTTTTTTTCTTCATGCAATTTGCCCATCAGAAATATTAACTTAAAGATGCCTGTGTTCTCAGTGGAAACACAGTTTTTAGGAAATGTTATGACTGAATGATATTAGTAAACACATGTAGTTGTATATTTTATTTTTTGAAAATAATTTGGCTATATTGTTAAGTATATTAATGCATTGTTAATTTGTAATAAAACATTGAACCATGTAGATTCTCAAAGTTCAAGATATGTTTGAACTGGCACATAGATTCTTCTTCTTATATTCTTCAAGAAACTTGCCCAAGGCGTTCAATGGTAGAAATACCTCATAAATCAATAAACAAGGAGGGCTCAAGACGACGTTGCAGCACTCTGAGATCAACTGAACTTGCAAGGACTACTAGCTACTGGTGGCATCTTGGAGATTCGGTTGACCTGGGCGCATCGTAGTCGCTTCCAGTTGCTCAATACTATCCACCAAGAATTGGATCTTATCGAGCTGTTGGAATCTGCGGTCATCCAGTTGCTCACAGTTGCTGCGGATCAACCAGAGCCTTTGAATCGCTAGTAGAGCTGAATCCGCCTTTAAGTAATATAATTCACTTTAATTAAACAAATTTTAAAGACATCATTCAGAAACTAATCGCTCAAACCATTCAAAAGCCGGATAGGCAATGCCCTTGTGAACTGACTATTTTGGTGAAGGGTCTACGGTATATTTCCGTCCATTAGGGTAAAATTCAGCGCAAACTGAAATTATAGTTATGCACATACAGTTATTTGAATTATTATATCAATATTACCTTTATGGTGCTCAAGAACCTTAAATGCATCAAACGACTATACAAAATAGATTGATCATGAAAGTCTCTTTCTGCAGCCACTCGTTTGTGGCAACTGGAAAATCTTGCTAATATCCCATCAAATCTTCTTATGCGGTGGTCGTCTGTATATTCCTTTATTTTGATATGTAAGGAAGTATATTTTAAGCTGGCACTTGCCAGGAATCTCATAAAACATGAAAGTAATTTCAACTAGGCTATTAGCAGCATTTCTTTATTCTCAATAAGTAATGGAATTTTAGAAAGACAATCATTTACATCACAAATATTTACAGGGTAAAACTAACATCGTTTTAGTGTATATATTAAACTATAATAAGAATGTATCTGTTTTTCAATGAATTATGGCTATTTACTCAGAAAAAATACGTAGGAATATCACTAGATTTGCATGCAAATCATTCGAATACCCAGATTCTTCCTGCTGTAGAAAACAAACAGTTTTAGATGCGAGAGCCTCGTACAGTTGCGATAAGAAATAAGAAATATAAAATATAATTTAACTGCATATCCTGTGTAAGCTTGTGGTCCGACGAAGGTAGTAGATCAGAACCAAGTGTTCGTACCATTCCAATTTTGACTCCATTGAATTAAGTTCATTGTGCATTAATTAGTTTTTAACCATACCATGATATTGATGGCCCGTTACATAGCTTACAAATAAACTATCTGTGAAAACTATCAAGGTGTACATGGACGTTTGCGTTTTTCATATTTAGAAAAATTCTAAAAAGACTTTTTTTCCTCGACATGATATTAAAATGCAGAAACCACACACACATAACAATTGATTATTTTTGTTGTCTCATTTTTTTCACCTTAGTTACATATTGTATATGTTTACTTATCATATTATTGTTATTTCTTTATTACCCTTATTGTTATTTTGATAAGAAAATTTTTGTGCCACGCCATTATTTACGACTATAAACTGCGTTTTCTTACCCTCAAAGAATCGGTACTGAATCATAAATAACAGCTTATAAACAATTACCAGGTTAAATGTTCAAACCAGATCTATCCATGTGTTTCATTCTTCATCTCATACTTAAATCATTTCTGTCAAAAAGAAAAATTACAGTTTACAAATTATATTAGCTACAGAAAGATTGGTTTTAATTGTTCATTTTGAAAGTTGCATTAAAAATTACCAAGGTTGTTTTGGGGATATCTATGGTTAGTAAGATAGGATCCTATTATGAATAGGAATAATATTATGACAATCGTCTCTTAAATGCTTCATAATAGTGTCGTCGCAAGCATCAGACTAAGTTTCAATTTTCCATCAAGTTCAGTTCAGTTGATCTGCTTGATAAATATAAGAACATCATGATTGTCTTCATCAGTAGTACGTTGAGTGTTTGCCCTCTAGTTGCGTCATTAAATTTCATAAAATCCCCTTCTTTTAAAATTCTAGGGAAATGTTCTTTAAAATTTAACACAAACCGTTTCCTGTCTCATGAAATATGAAGTTCACGGTCCGCGGCTGAATTGACCATGTTCGTAAATAGACAAAGACAAATTAAAAGTTAAGTTAAGCAGCATAATTGAAGGAATTTATCAATAGTTTGTCCCTTAAAGAAGGTTACAGACCATTTCTGGACAATAGTAAGAATATTTTTGACAGTTATTTACGGATGCTTGTGAATAACTACGAGTAAGAAAAAATCTGAATCTAAATGTATTTTCTTTTGCGAATTTGATTTTGAATTTTACAAAGCCAAAGACAACCGTCAATCTGTAAAGAGCCATCTAAGTGTCATAAGTCAGCCTGATTATATGCATAGTCCAAAAAAAATTCCAGCATCAAAACTGGATTGCTGAGGATGATAAGCCAAGTATTTCATCCGCATCCTTCAATCAAGGTTATTTTTCAGTTAGGAAATTACGAGTGGTATTCAAGTGGTATGCGATACTTGCGGATTGTTACGGAAAATAATAATTGTGGACAATATTATCGTGAGAAACTTTTTGAGATATCTCCCTTCACGGATACTTCAGAGTGCCTGCAATTTGTTGCGAGTTATTTACAGATACTAGCGGATGCTTGCGGTTAATAACGGTTAAAAAAACGTGTATGTGAAGGGGGTATTACCTAAGTATTAACTACGCAATCTAGTAACTTTTGTGCTTTTGACAAGCATCTGGATTTTCTCTCTCGATAGGTATTTCGGGGGTATTTATTTTATATCCCACGGGTTGGTTTATAGATCTTCCTCTCACCATTTACCCCATCTGTCACTAATATTGATTCTTTAACACAAATATGACAATTATATAGAAAAACATTCCTGACAATATTAGTTAATATGAGTTACCACTGTTTTCATTATAGAAGAGACGAAACGACTCCTACCGCCCCTATATCATACCGTCCTTCTCTCACTGTAGTTTACATAGTAAATAGAAACAATATGTGTTATAATGAAATATCTGTATATTATAGTAGTTTGAGATGAGTCTTAAATCGCTCCATATGTAGACTCTCTATTTCAATGTTTTTCTTGATGACAAGTACATACGTATAACATTTGAAAACAATAGAAAGGTCTCAGGGTTAGCCAGCTAGCGTTCCGTCTTGGAAGAACGTCGACCGCGGCGAGTTAAAATCGTAGGCATACCTGTCTCAGTTCAAAGACGTTCTTGTGCTGTTTTCAATATCAATGGTAAAAACCATCTTTAACCATATAGGGGTATCTTAAATGAATGCTAGAAAATTGTTTTGTAGTTCAAATTTAGAATAAAACAATTATTTTAACACTTGTTACATTCAGTTTAACTTTACCATTGAAACTGTTCACTATAATCCAATCTCTAATATTGAAGTTTTCTATGTTTGTGACTTTAGGACAAAATTGTATGAATCAGGAAATATTTTTGTGAAAATGATATCGATCAGTAAAATGCGTCGCCTGGTGAGTATAAATTAAAATTGTTGGTTTCATTTTTCTGTCACATTTTTGGAATCTTTAGATATATTTATACTGGTACGACACGAGAGCTTTATAGAATTCTTGATCTTTTTCTCCATACAAGATAATTTCTTTAACAAAATGTTACCTTTATATTTGATGCAAATATACATTTCATTAACTGAAAACTTTATGTTTTATGAGAGTTAAACATCAACATTCTGAGTGAAGAAAGAACATCAGTGGAAATTATTTTTAAAAAATTATTACATATACATGTATATGAATGCTTTTGACGATTTTTAAACAAAATCATAAATTTGTCCGTGATGCGATTCGGTAGAAAACAGGAATCACTTTAAATAAAAGACATGAATAGAAAATAAAACAATTCCCTTTATAACATTGTTGTTTCCTTTCACGGTATTTACTTGGAGTATTTTACTACGAACTTAGATAAAAAGAAAATATATTCATGTTTATATAAATGTTAATATACACAGTGTACACATATACTTTCTATTAAGAAATAAGTGTATAAGAAAAATAATATGGAAGATTTAAGAATGAACATTTCGCGAGTTTTTCAATATTTTTACTTTGATAATAAGACAAGGGGTTTGCGACACATGCGATTGTGGCTTTATATACACCAACATGTCCGTTCGTCCGCCCGCCCGTCCCCAATTGCTCGTGGAAGGCGCAATTCCTTCTGGATTTTGGCGAAGCCTGGTGTAAGTGTTTGTAATCACCCAAGGATGACCGCTATTGAAAATCAGAAAAGTCGAAAAATATTTAGTATGAGTTATAGTCCTTGTTCTTGAAACGCTTACAATTTTTAACCCTAAAGCACTAAAAGGCACGATTCTTGTCTGATCTTAAATACTCGCTGCGTTTTATATAAAACTTACATGAATGTAAAAGCCTACACTCATTCTTTAAAGCAAGGTTAAATAACGTCAACATTGAAATATTCTATTAAAAGTTATATGGTCATCATCACGAAATTATTGGTAAATATTATGAATCTGTGTCTTTAATGTTATCAAATTTACTCAGCAACATTAGACTAAGTATTTAGTTTTATTACCTTAGAATTGTGAATTAGACCTGCTTTGAACTATTTTTAAAAAATTCTGTTACAAGTTATTTCCCTTGAGTTGTATTGCAAAAACTTCGAATTTTCTTGTGTTGATTGAACGTAAAAGTTCATTGATTCTCATACAGGATTATATTTTTTCCTTCGTGGACACCGGGGAAATGTTGTTCGAGTTGCTTTTTAAAACTTATGACTTGGAAATTTAGTATATTTCTGAAAAATTTCCCTTTCTCGCCTTATCTCAATTTGATTAATAAATTTAAAAGGAAAGAATAGTTTGTAAATTTGGATTAGGATCATTTTTCTTCAAATCTGACAGCTTTCGAGATTCTAATTATTCAATCATATGCTCCTTATGAACAATGTGCTATTTGATTGTTCTTCTACACTCAACAGTTTATATTTACTACTAAAGGGAAATATCAATATCAAAATCCAAGTTGGATAGTATTGTTCAGACTAAAATACATTAAAGAATTTTTTAGACCGACATTGGATGAGACAGTGTAAAATTGGTTCACATAACATAAAAATGCAATTTAAGATATTCGATAGAAGAAGCAGAGAATGTCTTTGAAATGGGAGAAAAGTATTTAACTTATTGATTTGTTTGTTGGTTTTATCGACACAATACTACATTCTTATTATAAAAACATTGTTCAAAATTATTTTATCCTTTATTCGCCATTTTTATATTCAAATACATATAATTGGGAAAGGTTGTGATTGCTGTACAATCCATAGCACTGTTTTAACCCGGAGTATTAGATCCAATCTTTGGATCTTTTTGTTGTTGAACCATAAGCCTTCGTTGCTTCTTTATAATAATATAGAAAATATCTATATTGAGTCATATCGGTTATTTAAAAATTAAGTGTGTTGAAAGTAAGTAAGAAAACGTAAGAAATCGACAAAAATAGTTATTGTATTGATGGAGTAACTTCAAATTATTGGTGTACAATTTGTACCTAATCATTACAAACTGTGCTTAACGCTGTTGTCAATTCTCTTTATCTTACATTTACTTATCAAATGAACTTTGTATTTGATTTTTGTTTATGTGGAGGTGCTTTATTACTAGTGCTTTGATGTATAGATTCACTGTCCCTGGTAAAAGTTCCCGATAAGAATAATTAATTTTCTTCAGCTTCAAGAGTAATCTCCTTGCTTATTTCATTTATCCCACACGATTTTTGTGCAGAGTAAAGTGCCTAATAAAACACTTGGATATTCTTGAATAATCTATTCAATAAGGGGGACTTCCTTATACGTATATAGTATTATATTATTATATGTATTTTATGTTTAAAGGCTTGTATTTACTGTTACTGCACTTGTACATCTTCTTTAAAACTGTTTAAAGAAAGAGAGGTTTATCCATCACAAGTCAAGTTTCACACAAGACAGTTTGAGTGTAAATCTTCAATTATCTGAGCTTATTTCTATATCCACGATCTTTCTCCTCAACTTCATAATAAACAAGAGAATCTTAACTGAATAAACCCTCCTATTGGCTAGTAAGTTATGTCAATTCCACTAAAGAGGTGGAGCTACTGGCAAGGTGAGAGTTGATGGAATTCAAGAGAAATGCGTATATATCGCATCTAGCTCCTCCCATTAAATTCTTAGAATGAAGAAATAGAATGAGATCTCGTCCTGACAGTTAAACAATTCTTGGTGTAAAAGGAAAGTATCACCAGTATTTCATGTGATTTAGGAATAGAATGAGTTGTGCCGAAGTCATGTATCAATTTTATTCACCATATTTTCCGTATAAATCTTCAACCGAAGATGTACAGGTAAAGCATTTCAAATCTTTCACTTTCTGATTTATTGATTACCGCAAAATCTTTCAGATTTTCATAAAAGCATAATTGTGGCAGAAAATTCTCGTGTTTGGAAACATACCATTCTTGCTAGAGATAACATGCATGCTTGACAGTCGTGGGATTTTGTTGAGGCCTCATGGAAGCAAACCACACCATTTTAGAAATTCCTGATTTTACTTAAAAATGACTTTGTCAATGAGATGAAATTATTTGTTCTAATGTTGTTGAAATTTTGGTTGTACTTTTTGTAAATGAAAAAACTTCTTAGCATATAATTTTATAGGACCTATATAATATTATATAACCTATAGAATGAAGATATTCTTATATGATGCCTTACTTCATGTAACTATTATTCAGTTTATGTGGTATTGATATTACATGTTTAATTGATTTGTGTTATATGTATTGTATAAAAGCATACAAAAATAAATTCATCATAAAAAGGCCAATACAAAGGCCAAAAATATCAAGATAAATTTCAGTAACTTTTTCTTTTTGTCATTGAAACTTCCATTGGTAGTCGATATAGTTTTACTTTCATGAAATGTAAAAAAAATATTTTTTTTTTCATTCCAGAAATTCAGCGTACCTAGTATGTATGATAGCCATTCTACAACCTCGACATCTACATCTTCAGGACATTTTCTAGAAACGAACACTTCTCCCAGAGAAAAAGATAGTGATAGTGAAAAAGAGCAACCACATGGTTCTCAATATCTCAATCCAAACTGTTTATTGTTAACTTATTTTACCGGAGATATCGCCACAAATGTCGATGAACATTTTAGTAAAGCTTTAAGTCAACCTAGTAGTTATACTGTAGATAGACAGGGTAGTAAACATTTTGGACGAACAGGTAAATTGTTTTTTCTTTTCCTTTTGCCATTTACCAGTTTTAATTCAAATTCACATTTTCTAAAATTTCATCAAGTATAAGGCTACATAGCATTTAAGTATATTAAATGCATCTGAATGATTTCTAAATTCAAATTCAAATTCCCAACGCTAACCTAATCATCAACACCTTGCATAACCATATTCTAGTTCGACATACACAAACAATTGCTTACAATTTGCTAACCGCATGAATTACTATTGGGAGACAAATATATAACAATGAGAATTTTAATTCAAAACGATAATTTCTGTTCATTGTAGAATGTTTAAAATTAAAGCGATCCGTTTAACATATTATGTAATCTCAAACGCAAATTTTCTTTAAAAGATCATAAATTAATTTTCCAGATGCGAATTTGTCCACGACAAATCAATAGAATTTTAGGAAAGTTTTGTTTTGATATTATTTTATGATACCAATCGTAGATTCGTAACGTAAATTTGTAAAATAGAATAAAGATTAAGATCATTATATTTTATGTTCTAATATTGATCGCACTGATATAAAACGTTTGCGTAATAGTAATCAACATATTATTCAATTTTCAATTTTTTGTAAATATGCAACTGAAGTTATATTTGATCTAAATACGATTATGAATTGATTATCTGTTTTACGGGAGTTGGAAAAGAGGTGTATTTTAACCAGTAAGATCAAACAAGTGTTTTGAACTGTGAATTAATGTTCCGAAATTTGATATGTGTAAAAACAATTATCAAGAAATTTTACATTTTATTGCACTGGTATTGGCACGTTTGACAACATGCAAATTCGACGATTTTGAGTTAAATATCACTTAAATGTACATGACGATGATTTCGAGTTTCCAGACTTTTCGATCACAAACACATTTTAGGCCTTAATCATATTAGCCTAAATATTATGATTTGTTTTTGATATATTCTCAAATTTGACACATTAAATCTGCTGGATTTTTTTTTTCAAATCCAATAACAGCTATTTAAACCACTACACAATGTCGGGTCTTCAAATATGATTTGTGCCATTCATGGTATTTTTCAGAATGTTAATCTGATATTAAGGTACATTCGTTAAAAAAAACCGGAATAAAGGAGACACGAGTTTAATTTCAAATTTCAGGTCCAAATAATCAAATTTTAATTCTGAAGGCTTTATTTATAAATTTCATTTTTATTTAAAAACGTTGGATTCCGGGTAGCTAAAATTGATCTTTGTGATTTGCTTTTTTTAAATTTTAAGCTTTAATATCTTTTTTAGAACTTAATTTAAGATAATAGAAAGAAGAATGTTGTAAAAATTATTCAAAATTACATTTAAAAGGTTTTAACATATATCTATACTTTATACTATACTTCATTATGACAAACCACTATCATGCTATTAGGCCTACAATAATAAATGTCCATCAGAATTCATGCAATGAAGAGATAATATTATCCAAATGTATCTGATAAATATTATATTATGGTCCTTCAAAAATTTGAATGTCGATAATATTTTTGTTGTACAGTGATAGAATGATGTGTTCAGGAAGGATGAACTTCCTCTGTCTTCTTAGCAAACTGAAACTCTCTTTTATCAGTTTTGACTTAAAAACCTCAACATAATAATTCGATATTTCAAAATAACATAAAATGTGCAATATGTTTATTCTATAATAAAGGTGTTAATCCCAGAATAATTTGTTTCTAACTCTCATAAGTTAAAGAGATTGTAAAGAGGTTTTCTGAAATTTATGTGTATTGGGGAATATCATCAAATGTACCATTCCAATTTTCGATCAGACGTCTGTGGTTCCTGCAATTCCACTAAAACTAAATGTTTCATGAGGTCACTTATCGCGAAAAATTAGAAAAACCTCTTTACGACCTTTTTAAGAAAAATTATTTCGCTCCAATGGAATTAACAACGTTCATCGAACATTTGATTCAAAAGTTAGTATTCTTGTTGGAGAATTTTAAATCTGTTTATCTGTTTCGGATACTTTTGCGATTTTTGTTGATCTGTCTTATTAGGATCTTGAAAATAAACTATTCATGACAAAATGAAAAGCTTGTTCCTTTTTTCGAAATCTTTGTCGTTATTTCATCATAGTAACCATGCATCGGGCTTTTGTGTTTCTTGATTTGTTCGTGATCTGTAGAAAGGTGCACGACACCAATTTGTGCTAATTGTGGATAAATGTAAGGATTAACGAACGCTGTGACCTAAACCAATAAAGAATATAATCTAAGAAAGGATCATTGTGGTCAAGTCACACGTGCTTCAGTTGACCTAACCTGAAAGTAGCATTGTTAAGTTTAGTTTATTGGATTGGTATATTTGGTTAGTGCGAAACAAGAAAGAAAGTTAGTTTGTAAAGTGTATTTAAAATGACCTGTAGAGAGGTCAGTTTAATAACAATAATAAACTCAAGTCTTCTCTTCTGTTATTTGTAGTTTTATATAACCAGAGTTTGAGATGAAACCATCTCTCTTTGAGGTTTTCATCACAAGAAATCGCGTTTAACGGCTGTCACGTTTTATTGTGTTTTTAACAAATTATATCACAAATAGTTTTTGTTCTTTGGAAAGTTTCCCATCGTTTCAGCATTGATCATACTTGATTTTAAATTCTATCATTGAACAAGAAATATCAAAACTTTGTTTGTCGATTAACGATAGTAGTTTGAACAGTAACAGTCAAATTTCAGATGGGATGTATTGTTTTTATTTTCGGCAAGATGTATCTTGCAGTGTTTTGCAGAATTTTGCTTTTTTTTGATTTTGAAAACCCCTCATATTTTTACAGCCCTCAAAATACTGATTCGATAATCTTGTTGTTTTTAAATCTAAGATACTGTTTCAAGGACTATCCTATTCGATCACAGGCAGTGGTCAAATTGGGAAGAAGGCGATTATTTTTAGGTTACTGTGGCTTTTCTTTTGAATAAATAGTTATTCTGCGATCTAACCACCTTATCTCCTTTGAAATGCCGTTTAGTTAGTCATTGATAAAGTATACTGAAACACTATGGTATCTTCAATTTGAAAATTTGAATTATATTTCTTCAATAATTTTGATTTCTTACAAAACAAAAGCACTTATTGTCATTTACAGCTTTGGTCATTTTCTTTTTCTTTGATAATTCTGAAACAAAACTAAATCATACCCATTGATGTATATTATGTGTAATGATTTTGACCATTTCGAATGGTTATAAATGAACAACGAGGCGTTTCTCATGTAGAACATCAACTAACCTTTACATTGTATTTTGTCTTCACGACGGGATAATCCTCGACTCACAGGAATTTGTCTGATTCATGGTGTGTTAAAAGTTTAGTTTACCCCAAGTGATATTTTTCTAAGAGGTAAATTAAACAAGGGGATACCGATGTACGCGATATGAACTATAAGACATCTAAAAGCTAGACATGTCATAGAAAAAAATATAGTTTGTTATAATACTATTATTACATATTACAATAATAATAATAATACATTGAAATCTTCATTTTATCCCTGATACATTTGACATTTTCGTGATAGAGTTGAAGCTGGCAACAGGTATTTTAAAGTGTAAAAAATAAAACCGTTTATTGAAATTAGTTTGTGTAATACATGTCACATTTTACCAGTTAAATCATTAGAAAAGGAAAACTTCCGTTATATATAATTTGAGTTTGTAAAGAAAAGTGTAACATGTTAATCCTATGTAAGATGATGAGTAGCCTACAGACCAAACTAAGCTGATTAGAAACGATTCATTTCCATCTTTCTAAATATAACATGTGGTAGAAATTAGTAGGGCGTCTCATATAATTAAAAACCCCTGTAGTGAAACGTTACAAATCTAATCACTATGATTTACTAGGATTATGATTTTGTAATAATTATAATGATTTTTTTGTTGGTAAAACTTTAAAAAGAAATTGATTTCCTGCAACTAGGATGTAATCAACATCTGATCACCAGGCACGTGCTGAAAACAACTGATAAGCCAGCAATTATTTAGGTCAGATATATAATATTTCTATATTCGATACTTTTGAGAAAGGAATAAGTAGAAATATACATTACCGATATTAGATACGTATTTTGTAAAATATAAAAAAAAAAAACACTTCTAGATTTTCACAAATATTTGGTAAATATTACAAACAATTAAATGTCGATTGTATTTTACAAAAAACTATAATCCTTTGTATAAAGTTTTATCTTCTTCATTTGATGTGGTCGTGTGGATAGGCTTTTATAAGAGGAATCTACCAATTACTTGTATTACACAAATATACAAAACATAATACAAAAATGTGATATAATATACCAATAGAGATTAATACAACGGTATATCAGATACGCGTGAAAGAATCACAATGGGATATCAGAAACGTGTGTTATTATACAATAGAATGTCAGATACATATTTTGTAATCAATGTAATTTCAGATACATGTGTGCTTATAAGTACAATGGAATATAACATGTACATGTATTTTAATAATTACAATGTATTTACATTAATAATAATAACAATGGAATATCAGATACATTTATAATAATTACAATGGAAAATCTTATACATGAATTATGAATTCAATATAATATCAAATACCTGTTTATTTATTACAATGGAACATAAGATAATAAATGATTACAATGAAACACAAGATACATGAAAATACCTGTAATTACAATGGAGAATAACATACATGAATAATAATTACAATGGAACATAAAGTACAATTACACTAAGACGATTAGTCTACAATATGTGATGGTTACAAAATAACATGTAATAATTTCAATAAATTATTACATATATGTATTTTCCTATAAAAATCAGATACATATAAAAATGTGATAATAATATCATAGTGAAAAATTCTTAAAAATATCGTGAAAGAATTTAACAAAGTGACTTATTATCTACCTGTACACAAATGTGAAACCATATAACAGTACTTTGTAAACAATATTTGTTTTTAAATGTTTATTTTAACGAGTTGGAGATTATTGTAATTAGCCATGTATTATAATCTTAGTAAAATCTACAGTTAAACATTGATATTTTGATACCACCCTGTCAGTCTGTTCAACATATTGTCCATTACTGTTTATTTAAAATCTCATATAAACAGAAACTCTAATAAATTAAACATTATTAAACAGTATAATATAATAAAGCCAGGAGCATTACCTAGAACTGTTTAGTGTTTAAATAGGACTTGTATTTTAAAGACAATGAATTAGAGAGAAATAATAATATCTTCTATTTATCTGCTATAAACAGTAGTAAGCTATCTTATAGATAAGTAGATAAACATTGACTTTTTCAGCAATTAGTAAGATCGACATGCCTCAAGTGTTGCTGAATACGTCCCTTGAGATATTTTTATAGAGGCCATTTAATTTGTTTAACGCACAGGGGTACTGAAGTGAAATATTATCGCACGTGAGTAAGATACGCCATGTTGTTGTCTGTAGGCAATATTTGGTGAAATGTTTCATGCTATAAGCGACATGTGTCGTTAAATGTTTTATTTCCTTTTAATGACATTTGTAAGTTTTCAAGAGAAAGTATTTCAAGTAGTTTGTCATGGTTCATTTTCAATTTGTAGAGAATGCAACAATCGCAGCTAATAAATTCAATATTTAGTGGTAATATGTGAAAATATATATAAAATTATTTATAAATTACAGAAAACAGCAACTCAGCCCTGTTTTAGATTTATTTGCTTTTAACAATACCAGAAAATTGCCAATCTTATTCTACACAATTTATAATTCTAAGACTTTTTCTGAATTGATGCAGCATAATTCCATACAATAGATATTTTAAATGGTTTGAAAATAGAAGTGAAACTGATAATAGAATTAATGAGTTGTAGGATAAATACATTGAAATCTACAATAATCAATCATCATTTAGTGGAAATCATTCTTATCATCATCTATACACTGTTAACATTTCTCTAATTTCAAACATATGTCATGCGCATTGAGACACCTGACGCTGCCAAACTTGTCTGCTTATCACCGCCAAACTAACGGTAACGTCTGCCTCGACTTCCATTTTGTTCCCAAACATCTTTCATTCAAATCGGCTGTTGTTTCTGATCGTATTTCAAGTAGGAAAGACCACACATCTCTGGTGGGCGAAACAAAGATACTCGTAATAAACAATAAAAATCTAGTGTTATTCGTATTCTTCCTCATTTCCACTGAAATAAACTCAAACAACATGTCTACTGAGGTTTAAGGCGGGTTTAAAGGGGTGGTCAACATGGTCCAAATTAAATCTCAATTTCTATCTTCTTTTACAAAGAGAAGAAATTTAAGTCTTCTTCTTCTATCTCTTCTATACTTCTTTTCATTTTGTTTAGAAAATAAACCCAGAAAATATCTTCTTTAACCCAGCTCATATTTATGGTGAATTTATTATTATTTTAGTTTAAAATAGTCATTATAATGTTGTATTGATAGGGGTGAGAATATTCTATAGATGTTTTCTGAGCACATGTTTAATATTATAATCATATCATATACTCATCATATTTTATTTATTATAAATATCACTGACTATTTTATCACCAGTTAAAGATGTGTTAATAATTACTGAACAAAGCATTCATATCACATCATACATTAACTCTTCTCTTTCTTTCTACTTTCAGATTCGACTTTAATGTGTCAGAGAAAATTACCACCATCATTTTGGAATAGTGCTTACCAACCAGCTTCCACCTCTCATAGTAACTTCCCTCTAGGTGCCGACACATATTTCCCTACTTCGTTTTACGGCTTTCATAAAAATTGGCCATATTATTCACAGACTCATTCTTATGGACAAAGTGCACATAGTTTAACGTATCCAAGTATAGACTCTGCCAGTAGACTCAATTCACATTACAGCTCTTTGATGATGCCAACAGCACCCTCGTTATCAAGTCGTTTGGACAGTCGCCATTCACAATATGATTTAACAAAAGGAGCAGATCCCTTTCCGTCATCTTATTATTCAATGGGAAGGTTTGGTGCTGATGTTGCTTCAACGATGGGTATGGAATCTGGCATCGCAGGTTGGTAAGGAATCACTTTTTATTATTTATAGATCCATTTTACTATTACTATCTCAATATATATTATTGCAATAGCATTTTTAGCTGTATAATCTCATGGAGTCTATGTGATCAAAAGATACCAGCAATAAAGCAATAACGGGGCGTGTCGGTATAGCATAATATTAAGTGTTCGTTTATGAATAACTAATATAAGTTTTTTTTACTTTCAGGTGTTGATTTACCAACTCAGCATACAAAGAAAGAATTATATTGGTGACAATAATTGATTATACCATCATATCATTTAACGTGTTTATATACACCATTGCTCATTAGTAATATTCAAGATGGCGGCTAATAGCAATTAAAATGTCGGTTAATTGTGCCGAAAGTTCAGCGATCCCCAGTTGTTTTCATCCATCTTCCGTAATGTGCCAAAACAAATCGTGTTAATAATCATCGAACATAAGAACATGACATAAACTACTAGTGCATGTTGTTTATTATATAAATATTGGATAATAAATGGGTGTTATTTCAGAATGATTGACAGCAAAACAGCTGATCATTAGCCAATAATAAGTGACTGCCGATCACCCACAGGCATCTCCCAGAAGTGACACCAATGAACAATAATAGAAATGATATCTAGCGTTATTTTATTGTTATTTGTATAGATATATTCATGTTTTCTTTTCATTTTCCGTTCCAATGATCATTATTCTTGTATTCATCCATCATCCATCATGCATTTATTCATCATTCATTCATCCATTCATTAATTTCATATAACTGTGTTCAGAATTTACCAGAATAAATGACATTATACTTTTTATTCTTCAATTTATTTCAACTGGGTAATACTTTCTTTCCACAGATAGGTGAAATTGTGTGTCCTACGATGAAATTACTTATACAAATCAATCTGAAAACCTATTTCAGCTCTTTGTCAATGCAGAAAAACCTAGTAGAATACATGCTAGGGGATATGAATGATAATTAAATTGAATATAGGTTTGCACTTAAATTCTAATTACTTCAACTCATGTGTTATCTGGTTTCTTTCAAGAAAAACACAAATTTCGTTAGAAATCCAATAAAGTTTGGTGTAACAAGTTGTAAATTATATATTTCACCACTGAATCTTATTATAATATACATATATCATACAGTCAAGTCGACAAACTAGATTTTAACATCTGGACCCATAGTTAGGCACATTTTCTCACAATACCACCCTACATCTATACCAAACCATTCAAATTATCACTAAAATCAACGGCGGCAACAGTTGTCTCTCATAAGTCAAAGAAAGTAATATATCTGAATCGACCCATGTCTGTAGCTGTGTTCATTCCTGGGAAGCAAGAAAAAAGTCTGCACGGTGTCTACACACCAGAATTATAAACTAACATGGAATTATGAATTCTTTAAGTCAATTGCATTTTCGCCTTTAGCCGTGTAGATTTCAATGATTGGTGAATATTTCTGCTCAAAAGTATATCAAATCACCCATAATTCTTCTTAATGTTTACATCCCGAGTTCATAGAGCTATTTACATATAATTGCATTCACTCGTTGCATTGTTCAGAATCAAAATCCAAATTCCAGATAATTGCCCCATAAAAATGTTCTTGAGATATTTATTATCAACTTTGCTACTAGTGTAGGACTCCAAGAATGTTTTTCGGTGATCGTGTCTTAAATATAACTGAAAGTAGAGTTTCGGCATAAGATAATTTCAACCCAGTGGACAATGAAATTGCAAACCTTTTGCTTTTAACGATAATAAAACTCTTTACGGTATACATACTCATAATGTGGATTAAATATTGAATAAACATACGCAAATAAATCATAGCAGATTTCTAATGTTTGGATATAATGTCAGTTGAATTTATAAAATATAGGTCGTTCTTGTCCAAGCCTGACGAGTCTAAAATCAAATTAGAACGATGCTGAAAATTTACTGCATTTCATTTCAACGAGTCGTCTGATATTGGTAGCACATCTACAGTTCTCAAGTAAAGTGATGTCTTTTTCCATTTAAATACAGTTTTTTCCGAATTTCTAAGTTAAAGAAAAGCAAATCAATTTTTATAATGATTTTCAAGAACAATTTTATTTTGTTTGAAAATATTTAGATTACATAGAGCGCGGCCTATAATTGTACAGTTTAAATGTCTAATCGTTCGAACGACCAAAAAAGACAAATTACACACATGTTTGAAATGCTGGAACTCTCTAATAGTGCCAATAACATTTCTTATTGGTAAATCCATTCCATGGCATTCTGTGTTCAACATTTTTAAATTGTTCTAAAGGCATTATTTTGTCCTCATTATTTAGAACATTAACATTGGGTTTCTATATTTGATTTTACTGATAGAAACAAATAGACAGGCTTTCAGACCAAGAAGAAGAGGGTATATTAAGAGTATATGTTACAATAAACAAAATCCTTATCTTTATTATGAGTGTAAAAAGAAGACGCATTACCATTTATTTTCGCTTCTCTATTTCTACGTGGGTTGTCTCTATATTGTAATTATCGTATCGGATATCAGCGATGAAAATTAAAAGAAAATTGGGCGAAAGGCAACAAATTATGTTAAGTGCTACTTGCTTGTACATTGAAGAGGTGTGGAATTTGTAACTTTAATGTATTTGTCGCTAATAATTATCCACTTGAACATGATGTATGAGTGGAAACTGAAATGAGCTTTGTCTCTCAATTGAACAGAACAACTCACAACCAAAAGGAGAATACAACCTAAGTTATATGTGTTGCTTTTTCCTGCAAAAAGATTGGAACGTTAAATCTTACTAGCAATATATACACAATAATCCTTCTGGTATTGGATGCAAACTTACCCAACACATTGTTTAATACGTTGCAAGCGAGCCAAGGCAATATCACCACTTTTGTGATGCAATTCAATATCAATGGGAAAGATGATGTCGTTAGTTAAGGGTTATTTATCAACAAGATCTCTGCTCAGGAGAATGGTGCAAAACAGCAGAATGATATGATGCATTATTCGAACCCCTAATATTATAAATGTATGTTATTCAGACGATGTGTTGAAAATGTAGACAAATGATACACAAAATATAAAATATCCAGATAGTATTTCTACCTATACAACAATAGTCTACAGTTTATACTTCTCATGGTGGTCATGATTCTACTACTTCTATTTTCTCAGCTGATTCTCACTTTATTCTGGCGCCCGTCTACACGTGCTACTGTCCGCCATTGACGTGATGTAATTTGGTATCTCTGTCAGCTATTGTTTTCATAATTGAAACCCCCACCTCTAAAAACACACGAATTCATTAAGTATCATGACTGCCATGGTTGATAGGACTAACCTTTATCAACCAGCTATTCTAGTCTTGTTAGAATGTAGAATATAAACATGTCTTTTACTTTCTGTTATTCCTTCATTCATTCTTTATTTCATGTTTTACCATCAATAAAGATTTATTTTCTTGTTCTAACTCATGTACATATTTACTTTTACAAGAGAAATTATAGTGATTTTGTAACGAATGTCTGAAGACACGTGGGTCGCTAATAATACACAATATAATTAAAATATTTCAAGATAATACCCGAAAATAAAATGTTATGTTTTTACTATGGTATTTCTCTGGAATTATTTCTAAATAAACGAGCAGTCTGTGAGGTGAGAAATATTACATATAAACATAATATAATCATGTTGTTATAGTGAACATTTGTAATATAAAATACATAATGAACATGTCATTACACATAGTTTACCACTATCAGTTTACTTTCAAAATCCACAAAGCATATTTCATTTTAATGCAATCAAAATAACAAATGATAAACAAATACAGTAAACAAAATAAAAGATGCCATCTGTGCCTAATAAGTTAATTTACATGTACAAATATCCATGTTTAAGATATACTTTTAAAATAAGATATTTTAAAAAGCATGTGGTAAGCAAGTCGTTGGACCATTTCAATAATCCATCGATGTTTCCAACAAAATTTGAGTAAGAACGGTTAGAGAATTCTCTAACTAAAATGATTTTTTTTATTCTAACGGGCCTTTAATCTCACAGGTGAAATTATTATAATTATTTTGACAAAGTAAGATTATTAATTAATACAACATTATCTTAAAACAAAATAGAGCTAAAGCTATGTAAAGTAATACAATACTATTATAATATAATATAATGCAACATAATATTGTACATATAGTTGTAATAATACAATTTTCACTGTTGTTAAATAATACATGTATTAGGAGGCTAAAAGTTTTACCTAATACAAGTTCCATAAATCATTTAAAGTAATACATGTACTACTCAAAATAATTAGTGATTAGCCAGCGTAATACATATATAGCATTTTATACAATATTATAAAACTGTATGGAAAGTTATTTATTTTTTGCCACAACAGCAACAAAATTTATAATATATATGAAGGTAATGATAAAAGAAATGATCCGTTCAGTTAAAGATAAGAGAATTACTATGTGTGAAAATACATTGTGATTTATTGTGATGAAAGAGAAAAAGAAAAGATACTCAGGGACGTTCCACCCTTAAACTTATTAAATGCCGTATCATTCCACGACAGTAGACAAGTGGCGCCACTACACGAAATAACACATGGCCTTGTCACAAAAAAAAAACCAAAAATCACCAAAATAAAGACAAGGAGAACTTAAAGATCACCATAAATATGAACCAACGAAAAAGCTTAATCAATTTTGCTTATACAGTTTTGAGCAAAAATGTGTGTGAACCATTCGAGCAACAATAATCGCAGGTGGATGACTTTATTTGCACAAGCTGTGTACAAAGATCAAGTTAAATATATAGTTATTAAACCAAGTACAATTAACTCATACTGTAAAATGATCTGGGATCCATCTTAAATTAACGCAGACCACCGCACCTAAAATAATTTCAAAAGAAGTTCCCAATTCGTATGTGTAAAGCTTCAACCATAAACTCATATTTGACCACTATGGTTCAATTACAGAAAGACGCGACAAAATTATGATATTCCTATTGTAAAAAATACTTGACTTTCATTGTATTTGCAATCCTGACCAGTGTCTTTTTGATTGGTTAAGATCGTCATTGTCACCCAAGACCATGCTACCAGCACCGGTAACATGTTTCCTTTTCAGACCAATTCTAAATTTTGAAATTGAATAATGTTTTGAGAAGCATGCCTCGATTCTCTATTTATTTTAATTAAGACGTTTGTTCTCTTGATAT